CCTTCCCCAATTATTGTGGCTAATTTCTTTTTCCCTTTTCCATATTATCTTTCTTTTATCTTTTTAAAATACATTTTGAAATTTTTGCTTATTTATTTATTAAGACACTTGCCTGCTAACCAGATGGCTGGCGGTTCAAACCCACCAGCCACTCCTCGGAAGGAAGGTTGGGCAATCCTACTTCCGTAGTGATACTTTCTCGGAAACCCAAGGAGGGGTCGCTATGAGTCGGGGCCAACTCGACGGCACATAACAACAACAACAAGAGGCATCTCAGGAAAAAAAAGGCCTATGAGCTACTTCTGAAAAAAATCTGCCCTTGAAAACCCCATGGAGCACATTTTACTTTGACACACATGGGTCACTATGAGTCAGAATCAACTCCATGGCAACTGTTTAGTTGGGTTTTTTTGTTTTTTTTTTTTATCATGATCATCCATTATAGTTTGGGCTTCTTTTATAGAAGTGATTGTGAAAAGTTCTCATCTTCTATAATTATTTCCACAGCAAAACATTTCTTTATCTTATGGGAACATTTGGAAGACAGAAGATCCCACACTATGATCTATCTGAGCTTACTTTCCAACCACAGGGTAACGGCCTCATTTTTTACAAGCTGATTTTGTTTCATTATTTAAATTCAATCATTATTGGGAGCTCAAAGTAGTGCAAACATATCGTTTGCACCTCATGAGTATTTACACATGAAAACTGATATTCTCATGGGCTTTGCTAAGATTTTTATTAAGAAAAAAGATGTACAAATAGTAAGTTTGGAGAAGGAAATTGTCCATGGACTCAAGTTATGTTTTTTCCTTGGCTTATTAGTATCTGGGTTAAATTTACAACTGGAAGAAAACTGTAGTGGGAAACGAGAAACAACTAAGTGGCCAAGTAGTTTATCATTTAACTCCTTTACTGGAGAATCTGCTTTTTGGAGAAGGTAAGGCATAGACAAGAGAAGAGAGACCATATCATATGTCCTAGGGGTTCTGATGGAGACCAGAGCAGAAGGTCAACAACTAATGCTTTTAAGTTGAATAAGTGTACTAAGGTCATTTTACCTAATTTGTATGTTTGTCTAGGGCCCATCTGTATTCAGACTAAAGGATGTGTAAGCATTACTGTATCTTGGCTCTGGATCCAAAAAGCCTTACGCTCCCAGAGTGTGAACCAAAGACAGCAAAGGTAAGGAGACTTTCCAGAAAAAAAAAAAAAAAAAAAAACCTCACTGCCATC